GCCTTCCCCCCATCACCAGGGGCAGGTGGGCCTCCGAGAGAGCAGGAGAGACGGGGCATGCGCGAAGACTCACAAAACAGGACAGGAGCATCCTCCGCGTTCTCTAAGCAGAGGGTGCTAACAGCAACTCTCCCTGCCCTGCCCCGGGCCGTCCCGCGGAGCCGGCGCCCACCCGCTCACCAGCACGGTAGTCTCGGCCACCCACGCGTCTCCCAAGTGCGTCTCAGCTGCCCTGGCCCGAGGCCCACACGCTGAGCGCTGTTTCCCGCGATGCTGGGCCGCCTGCAGCTCTCACGCCTCAGGCTGTGGAAATGGACTTGAAGACAGCGAGGCAGAAACTAGAGCTGGCAGACGCTGGCCTCGATGGAAGTCCCAGCTGTTCCTTACTCTGGGCCATGTTCTCCTCCACGTGGTCTCCAAGTCCCTCCCTGACCTGAACGCTGCCCTCTCCCCCCGCGCTGGGCTCCCCCTTGGTCGACGCCTTCCCTCTGCAGACTCTCCCTTTAGCCCCACCGCCTCCTCTCTCCCCTTCTTCGGAGCAAGTCCTAGTACCCTTTGCTTTCTGCTGCGGTACCTCTGCCTCCGGGAAGCTTCCATGTCCACTCCGAACGCCCGAGAAGTTTGCCCCCTCCTGTGCTGCCATCCGAAGGGGGCACCAACACCGAAGCCCTGCTGACTTCTCCAGCCCCCTCCCTGCGTGTGGTCCCTGAGACCAGGGGCTGTATCTCATGTTGATTTTATTTGTCATTTTATTGTGAGTGCACGAGGGATGCCAAGTCAATTGCTGAATAAATGGAGACACGAGGCCCAGGGCCAGACACGTATGCCTTGAGTCTCTTCCTTTCAGACAATTTTTTCCCAAAGGGGGAACTGGCCCTCGTTGCACAGACTCCTGAGACACTCACCCTGCTGGTCCTCCGGCCCGAGTCTCAGGGATGCCTTCTAGATGGGCATCGTTTAGATAGGAAAATGCAGTGCACGGGCACCAGGTATCCGGTTTTCCCACACACACCGGCGGTTCTGACGCCAGGTTTTATAGGATGGCCTATAATTTAATTTGATGCTGATACTACCCAGAGATGGTTTGATATCCCACAGCTTGAGGGCGCAGTTCCACAGACTGTCACAATTAGCAGGTGCCAATCGTAAGCGGGTGACCTGTGCTTACCGACTGGCTATAAACCAGGGTTCCCGTGACCCCCTACTCAAGTGAATTTGTTTTTTCTCTTAAGGAAAGCCTCCTTCTACCTCCCTTTCTCCCTTGTTTCCTCATTTTTAAATTTTTTTTTATTTTCCAAAAAGATTTGTTTTTATTTATTTGAAAGTCAGAATTAGAGAGAGAGAGAGAGAGAGGAAGAGACACAGGGAGAGAGGGCTTTCACCTGCTGGTTCACTCCCCAAATGGCCAAAAAGGCTGGGGCTGGGCCAGATTGAAGCCAGAAGCCAGGAGCTTCTGCATGGGGGTGCAGGGGCCCAAGCACTTGGGCCTCCTTCCACTGCTTTCCCAGGCCATTATCAATGAGCTGGATTGGAAGTGGAGCAGCCAGGATTTAAACTGGTGCCCATATGGGATGCCGGCACAGCGGGCTCCCCCTTGGTCGACGCCTTCCCTCTGCAGACTCTCCCTTTAGCCCCACCGCCTCCTCTCTCCCCTTCTTCGGAGCAAGTCCTACGTACCCTTTGCTTTCTGCTGCTCCTACAAGTTTCTTGATAAAGATATCATAAAGGATGAGCAGCCAGATGGAGGAGGCACAACGGGCTATGTGGGAAGAGGCTCCACACCTCTTAGGGTGCACCTCCTTCAGGCACCCCCACCTGTTCAGCTATGCAGAAGCCCCCAGAGCCCCATCCTTTTGGGTTTTATGAAGGCCTCACTATGTAGGCGGGTTGATGACATTGACCGTGAGTGGTCAACTTAACCCCTCTCCCTCATCCAGACATTCCAGCCCTCTACAGGTGACAGCGGCCCCTCCTCCATGCGGAAGCTGTGGAGAGCCCCAGCCCCTTCACAGTCTGCACACTCGTCACTCTGGTGACCGCAAGGGTTCCAGGAGCTCTGTGTCAGGAACGAGGGCTGGCGATCAAGCACCTGCCTCTTCTTGCATCACAGGATCTCCTCCTGGGATCCCGTTACAACACGGATCTGGCTCAGCAGCGGGGCCTGGACCAGACAGGGGACCCACACCCCGAGAGTAAGGCAGGAGAGCAGGTGGCCTGTGCAGTCTCTTTAAATGGATTCCAGGATTCTGATCTACAAGAACTAATTGGCGGGCTACCATTGTGGCATAGTGGATAAAGCTGCTGCCTGTGACATTGGCATCCGTGTGGGTTCGTGTCCCGGCTGCTGCAGCTCTGATCCACCTCCTTGCTAGTGGCCTGGGAAAAGCAGTGGAGGACAGCCCAGGTGCTTGGGCCCCTGCATCCATGAGGGAGACCCGGATGAAGCTCCTGGCTCCTAGTATCAGCCTGGCACAGTCTCAGCTGTTGCAGCCCTTAGGAAAGCACTCTCTCTCTCTTTCTCTCTGTAACTCTGCCTTTCAAATAAATAAAAATAATTATTTAAAATTTTAAAAAAGGGGCCGGCGCCGTGGCTCACTAAGCTAATCCTCCACCTAGTGGCGCCGGCACACCAGGTTCTAGTCCCAGTTGGGGCGACGGATTCTGTCCGGTTGCCCCTCTTCCAGGCCAGCTCTCTGCTGTGGCCAGGGAGTGCAGTGGAAGATGGCTCAAGTGCTTGGGCCCTGCACCCCATGGGAGACCAGGAAAAGCACCTGGCTCCTGCCATCGGATCAGCGCGGTGCCGGCCGCAGCGCGCCAGCCGCAGCGGCCATTGGAGGGTGAACCAACGGCAAAAGGAAGACCTTTCTCTCTGTCTCTCTCTCACCTTCCACTCTGCCTGTCAAAAAAAAATTTAATAAAAGGAAAAAAACCCTGAAACGCAATAGCTAGAACTCAAGCAGGCGCTCTGAAATGGGGTGCAGGCGTCCCCAGTGGTGGCCTAAGTTGCTGTGCCACAATGCCTGCCCCAGCAAGCCTTCCATGAGATAAAAACAAATCCCTATTCGTGTAAGCCAGTCTTACTACAGTTTCATGTTCCCTGCCATCAAATGGCAATTCAGTATGCGATTTTAAAAATTAAAATTTGTTTTCTTTCATTGGCAAAGTACTATATACTGCTTATATACTTTTGAGAAACATGTAAAAAAAATATGGGGGACAATTAAGAGTCCTGGCCACTGAAATCCTGTTAACATTTTAAAATAGTTTTTAAAATTTGCATTTGAGAGAAAGAGAGAGTGAGCCCCTGTTTGCTAGTTCACTCCCTGAATACCCAGAATGACCAGGGCTGGGCCGGCTGGAAGCCTGGACTCGGCACAGGTACCCCCTGTGGGTGCCAGGGACCCAGCCCCTGGAGAGCCAACCCCCAGGGTGCACTTTATGAAGAAGCTGAGTCAGGGGCGGAGCCACAACTCAAATCTAGGCACCTGGTGTGGGATGCAGGGGTCCCCACTGGCATCTCAGCTGCTAGGCTAAACCCCACGTCCAACGTCAATCATTGCATTATCATCTATTAAGAGACCATGCTTTCATTTATTAAACAATTCCCCTATCGTGGCCTGTTTGAGTAGGTTCTATGTTTTGTGTGCCATAAAAATTGCTACAGTAAATTTCTTGGTGCTCAGGAGTTCTTGAATTTAGAATTAGCTCTTCCCAGAAATAGGTCAGATATAAACCACACCAACATTTCTGGGAATTCCTCCTCCTAGGGGTCTATGCTATGCCTGTCTTCAGAAGTTGAGAATGAAACTCAGAGGACAACGAATTCACCCAAGGTCACTGAGCTGACAGAGAGGAGCCAGGCACCCACGCGGCTCCACCCAGCCCGTTCAGCCCCCATGGCCACCACGCTCGCTCACCAGGCCTTGTTTTTTATGAATCCGGATGTGTTTCAAAGACAAAAGTGCTCTCTTACTCTAAACTACGTCCATGACGTTGGATGCATCCTTGTGTTTATAAAACCAAACACATTCCCCTCTTGTTAATTAGCTGTTGCAGCCTTTCAAATAGTTAGCTCTACAATTTGAACAGTGGGCCGGTGCCGCGGCTCACGAGGCTAATCCTCCCTGCGGCGCCGGCACCCCGAGTTCTAGTCCCGGTCGGGGCGCCGGATTCTGTCCCGGTTGCCCCTCTTCCAGGCCAGCTCTCTGCTGTGGCCCGGGAGTGCAGTGGAGGATGGCCCAAGTCCTTGGGCCCTGTACCCACATGGGAGACCAGGAGAAGCACCTGGCTCCTGCCATCGGATCAGCGCGGTGCACCGGCTGCAGCAGCCATTGGAGGGTGAACCAACGGCAAAAGGAAGACCTTTCTCTCTGTCTCTCTCTCTCACTGTCCACTCTGCCTGTCAAAAAAAAAAAAAAAAAAGATTCAACACACACACACACACGACACACACACACGGGGCCAACACTGTGGCGCGTAGCGGGTAAAGCCACTGCCTGCAGTGCCGGCATCTCATACGGCACTTGTTCGAGTCCTGGCTGCTCCACTTCCAATCCAGCGCCCTGCTAATGTGCCAGGGAAAGCAGCAGAAGACAGCCCAAGGGCTTGGTCCCCTGCACCCATGTGGGAGACCCAGAAGAACTCTGTCTGTCTCTCTCTCTGTAACTCTGCCTTTCAAATAAATAAATAAATCTTTAAAACATACACACGCACATGCACACATGTACACGCACGCACACTCGCCTTTCCCCCGACTCTGTGGTGTGTACACTTGACTACTCTCCTTGTCTTCTCACGAGACTTCCAGGATCCAGCAACTTCCTGGAAAAATAAAAATCGCTCCACGCCCCCACTGAATTTGGATGAGAACTGGTAATAAAATCAGGCGCAGCTGCAGGGGGAGACACTGGAGAAGAACCAGGCTGAGGGTGTCAGGGACGTCACCGAGATGGCACTCACCGCACCGAAGCCACGATCATCCCACCACAGTAAGCCAGAAATGTCACCGCTATGCCGTTGGGCGCGTTTTATTTATTGGGAATACCGGTTCTCTCTCTGTTCTATGCTCCACACTAGTAGGCTGGTTCACTAATAAATATGAAAAACCTGTTGTTTGGGGCAGGTGGGGGGAGAAAAGAAAGAAAAATACCGGGTGGAGTTTCCTTTTAGGAGACTCCTGCTGTAAGGTGGAAACGCTTTTAATGACAGCCTACGTGACGTGGGGGGTTTCCTAACCGCGTGCTCTTAACTCGGGCCTGCTTCTGTGCCCTGCTCGTCCACCTGGCGGAGCCCAGGTGCAGATCTGCGGCTGCAGCGCGGGGCCGGCGAAGGCTCTGGCTCCAGGCAAAGGCCCTCAGCGAGCTCTGGGTCGTCTTTGCTGGGGCAGGAGGGCTCGCTCAGGGTGACGCGTCAGCCGCGTGCATCGTCTGCTTCCGGAGTTCTTAACCGAAGAGCGGCCGCTTCTCCATGGTGATGTAGACGAACACCACGATGATGAAAATGCCGAGCACCGCGAGCTTCAAGCCCACGGGGAACCCGATCCCCTCGCTCTGGTCTGGGGCGCAGGGCTTTCTGGCGATACCCCCGGCCTTGGGTCTGAGCACTCTGGAGTTGCAGGGTCTCGCAGCACACCTGTGAAAACAGCCGTGGCGCTTAGGATCGCCACAGCTACCACCCAAGCACCCTCGGGAAGCGTCTGCACCTTGGGGCCTCCGGGAGCAACCGCGGTTGGTCCAAGTGAAACCCATGTCGATCCCAACAGGGGTGAGACTTCTCCAGCCCCCGAAGCATCCATTTACTGCTACGCTGGCAGAGCCAGGCTCAGGGAGCTCATAGATCCCCTGGCCCCACACCTCAAGACAGCATGGGGGGCCGGCGCCGTGGCTCACTAGGCTAATCCTCCACCTTGCGGCGCTGGCACACCGGGTTCTAGTCCCGGTCAGGGCGCCGGATTCTGTCCCGGTTGCCCCTCTTCCAGGCCAGCTCTCTGCTGTGGCCCGGGAGTGCAGTAGAGGATGGCCCAAGTACTTGGACCCTGCACCCCATGGGAGACCAGGAGAAGCACCTGGCTCCTGGCTTTGGATCAGCGCGGTGCGCTGGCTGCGGCAGCCACTGGAGGGTGAACCAACGGCAAAAGGAAGACCTTTCTCTCTGTCTCTCTCTCTCACTGTCCACTCTGCCTGTAAATACAAAAAATATAGATAAAAAAGACAGCATGGGGGTGGCTGGGTGCACCCGTGCCCAGGGGCTCCCCTCCCGCAATGCACAGCCGGGGTCCTTCTACAATCTATTGGTTTTTCAGTTCAAAGAGCTCTTGCCTTGCCTTCCACTAGGCTAGTCCCATCAGAGTTTACACAGAAGTTAGGGAGTGTCTCAGAAAGCTTTACCTCTTGGGGCTATCATTTTTTTTTTTAAACTGGCACACAAAAATGGTCCGGAATCCTGGGCTACAGTGTGATGTGGCAATGCACGGAGACGGTGTGTGAGGAGGAGGTCGGGGCAGCCGCGTCGCCGGCACCCCAGCCCTTCCTCAGCAACCCTTCTCTGCTGACGACAGCGCCCCTGCTGTGCTACCAACACCAGACCCTGAGAAGCTCTTCCTAACCCTCTTGCCCAGCCTCTGGCGACCCCGTTCCACTTTCTACTCCTGTGAGTAGTCCTCCGCCCTGTTTCTGCCCCTGTGTGGTCACCCCACGCGCGGCAGAACTTCACTTGCTGATGAGGGAGGTGCTTGGGCTCACATGTCAACCACCTGCTGTTTGCTTTTTTAAAAAAACATGAAATAAAAACAAAAATTAAAAACTCCGAGGGAGCAGCATTGTGGCACAGTGGGGTTAAGCTATTGCCTGAAATGCCAGCATCCTGTATGAGTGGCTGTTCAAGTCCCGGCTGTTCTACTTATAATCCAGCTCCCTGCTAAGGGCCTGGGAAAGCGGCGGAGGATGGCCCGAGGGCTTGGGCCCCTGCACCCATCTGTGAGACACAGACGGAGCTCCTGGTTCCTGGCTTTGGCCTGGCTAGCTCCAGCTGTTGTGGCCATTTAAGGAGTGAACCAGTAGATGGAAGACCTCTCTCTTTCATCTCTCCCCACTCCCACCCCCAATATGCTTCCTTTCAAGTAAAGAAATAATTCTTAAATTTCAAAAACTCTTGCTCTTCTTCTAAGACCAAAGTAGGACCAAACATTTCCAAACGGCCAGACCTCAGGGAAGCTGGGCTCGGCTCTCAGTTCACGGGACTGGTAGCACCTGCCTCGACCTCCCACACTGTTTCTTTATCTCCAAACATGAGCAACCAGCCAGGGGCCTCACAGAGCCAGTCAGCTTTGACACTGTGTGATATTGGGGCTGGCGCTGTGGCATAGCACGTAAAGCCGCCGCCTTCAGTACCGGCATCCCATATGGGCACTGGTTGGAGACCTGGCTACTCCCCTTCTGATCCAGCTCTCTGCTGTGGCCTGGGAAAGCAGTAAAAGATGGCCCAAGTCCTTGGACCCCTGCACCCATGTCGGAGACCTAGAAGAAGCTCCTGGCTCCTGGCTTTGGATCAGCTCAGCTCTGGCCGTTGCAGCCATTTGGGGAGTCAATCAGCAGATGGAAGACCTTTCTCTCTGTCTCTCCCTCCCTCTGTCTGTAACTCTTTCAAAATAAATAACTAAATGTTAAAAAAAAAAAAAAAAAAAGAAGAAGAAGAAGGAGGAGGAGGAGGAGGGCCGGCGCAGTGGGTTAACGCCCTGGCATCCCATACAGACTTTGGTTCAAGACCTGGCTGCTCCACTTCCAGTCCAGCTCTCTGCTATGGCCAGGGAAAGCAGTAGAGGATGGCCCAGGTCCTTGGGCCCCTGCACCTGCGTGGGAGACCCGGAAGAAGCCCCTGGCTCCTGGCTTCAGATCGGTGCAGCTCCGGCTGTAGCGGCCATCTGGGGGATGAACCAGCGGATGGAAGAGCTACCTCTCTCTCTCTCTGCCTCTCCTTCTCTTTCTGCGTAACTCTGACTTTCAAGTAAAGTAAATAAAATCTTAAAAAAAAAAAAGAAACCGTGTGATATATTGCGAGTCTTTCTCCTTTTTCCACACATTCTTCTCGGGCTCAAACCCATCAGAGAGATGGAATGATTGAACATCTAGGAGTGACAGAGCACAACAATATCGATGTCCTCACGTGCTTAAAGAAAAGCATTACCTGGTCCCTGTGGCCAGCTTACGACCCAGGCAGCGGGCGTCTCGAGATTTGCTTTTGCTTGCAGAAGGCTCAGGTCTCTGGCAAACAGAAAGAAAATGTCCAGAGAAATTTGTTCCCAGCGGCTTACCAAGAACCCTGGTGGCAGTGCTTTTTGTTTTTCTGTTTGATGTTTATTTTTCATCCAGAGACAGACAGAGACAGAGAAAGAGACAGATCTTCCATGAGCTGGTTCACTCTCCTAACACCCACAACAACCAGGGCTGGGCCAGGCACAGAGCCCAGAAATCCGCTCGGGTTTTCCACACGCGTGGGAGGGGCTCAAGCAGGGTGCACTGGGAGGAAGCAGAGGGGCAGAGACCCCCACTCAGGCGCTTTGGCATGGGCTGTGGTGAACCCCCAAAGTGGTGGCTTAACTTGCTACACCTGCCCTGACTTTGGTTTTATTCCACACAGACACACACACAAAAAATCACTTAATCTGAGGATTGGTAAAAGTGTGGGCACAGCAGGTTGAATGACTGAATTGTGCTTCATAGCACAGCGTTCGGGTTTCAAGCCACTGTTTGGGTTTACACATCAGAATGCCTGGGACTGAGCCCTGCCCCTGCATCCCATCCAGCTTCCTGCTAAGGCATCTGGGATGCAGCAGATGATGGCCCAAGCACCTGGGTTCCTGCCATTCACGTGGGAGATCCAGACGGAGCCCCAGGCAACCGGCTCTATGGGCATGTGTGGAGTGAGCCAGTGGATGGAAGATGGCTCTGATCTCTCTCTCTCTTTCTCTCTCTCTCTGCCTTTCAAATAAACAAGTAACTTTTTAAAAACCCTGCCAAATAGTTTAAACAGAAAAGTTCAAGTTCGCCTCTATTCAATAATGAGAAAACATCCAAGTTCCAAAGAGCAGTAAGTTCTGTACTGCGGGGACTCCCACGAGAACGACAGGTGCCGGAGAGCAGGGCCAGGTGCTGAGAGCGGCATTCTGCTTTTCCATAGCAACCCCCTGTTTATTGCACTTGTTTATAGCTTGGAGCTTTTTTATGAGCAGGCATCACTGTTAGACAAGGAATGAAGGCATTTAGAACAACAAGGCGGCTACAAAAAGGACTTGTAAATAATTTAAGAAAATGAAATGTTGCCCTGTGAGAAGAATAGAGACCACAGTGTTTTTCTTTTTCTTTTTTCAAATAATAGTTTTGGGGGACAGCTCTGCGACACAGCAGGTTAGTTAAAATCCCAGCCAGCAGTGCCAGCATCCCATATGGGTGCTGGTTCGAGTCCCCCCTGCTCCATTTCCCATCCAGCTCCTGGCTGATGGCCTGAGAAAGCAGTGGAAGATGGCCTAAGTCCTTGGGCCCCTGCACCCACGTGGGAGACGTGGAAGAAGCTTCTGGCTCCTGGCTTCAGCCCGGTCCAGCCCCAGTCATTGTGGCCGTTTGGGGAGTGAACCAGCAGATGGAAGACTCTCTCTGTATGCCTCTACCTCTCTCTTTCTGTAATTCTGTCGTTCAGGTAAATAAAATAAATCTTTTAAAAAAGTCTTTCAGGTTATTATGTTTCCAGCGAGGTGGAAAGGCTAACACTTCGTTTCCTCCCTGTGAGGTAGAAGAGGCAGTGACTTACACAGCAAGTGATCAGACTGCTGCTGCACACCCCAGCTGACCGGTAGCAGCAACAATGGCTGCGATACTGACAATCCCGATTAACTTCATGCTGCGTTCCCCTCCTGTGTCTGGTCTTCCTTAGTTGTTCATATTTAAGAGTCAGGCTTTCCATCTGCAAAAGCCTGCCATGTCCAGGCAACGTGAGGATGGGGTATTTGGCAATGTTGCTAAGCACCTGCTACCTGGAGCCAGGTACTACTCATGTATTAACTCACTCCTGGGCTGCTCCACAATACCTGGGAGGCACCATTGCTGTGCCGTTGAAGAGTCTGAGGCACAGAGAGGTTGAGTAACTTGCCTGGGGTCACACAGTATCATCAATAGAGAGTGATGTTCTTAAACCACTACAGGAAACTCTTCTCTACCCTTCAGTTTCTAAAATTAATTTCCTGGGGCCAGCACTGTGGCGTAGCAGGTAAAGCCGCCATCTACAGTGATGGCGTCCCATATGGGCACTGGTTCAAGACCCGGATGCTCCACTTCCAATCCAGCTCTCTGCTGTGGCCTAGAGATGTAGTGGAAGATGGCTCAAGTCCTTGGGCCCCTGAACCCACATGGGAGACCAGGAGGAAGCTCCCAGCTTCGATTGGTGCAGTTCTAGACATTGCAGCCATTTGGGGAGTGAACCAGTGGATGGAAGACTCTCTCTCTTTCTCTGCCTCTTCCTCTCTGTAACTCTTTCAAGTAAAATAAATAAATCTTTAGGGCCGGCACCGTGGCTCACTTGGTTAATCGTCCACCTGTGGCGCCAGCATTCCATATGGGCACCGGGTTCTAGTCCCGACTACTCCTCTTCCACTCCAGCTCTCTGCTGTGGCCCAGGATGGCAGTGGAGGATGGGCTAAGTGTTTAGGCGCTGCACTCCATGGGAGACCGGGAGGAGGCTTCTAGCTCCTGGCTTCAGATCAGCGCAGTTCCAGCCGTAGCAGCCATTTGGGGGGTGAACCAGTGGAAGACCTTTCTCTCTGTCTCTCTCTCACTGTCTATAACTCTACCTGTCAAATAAAAATAAATAAATAATCTTTTTAAAAATAATAATAAATAAAATTAATTTCCCTCCTGCACATACTTGTTTCTTAAGCATATTATTTATTTATTTGAAAGGCAGAGAGGCAGAGAAGCAGAGACAGACAGACAGATCTCCCATCCACTGGTTCACTCCCCAAATGCCTGAGTTGGGAGTGGGCCAGGCAGAAGCCAGGAACCAGGAACTCCATCCAGAGCTCTCCCACATGGTGGCAGGGACCCAGGTGCTTGGGCCATCACCTGCTGCCTCCCAGGGTGCATCAGCAGGAAGCTGGAGTTGGGAGTGGAGCAGGAGCTCCAACCCAGGCTCTCTGATGTGGGATGCAGGTATCCAAGCAGGGTCTTTGTTTTTTTTTTTTTTTTTTTTTTTTTTTTAAGATGCATTTATTTATTTGAAATGCAGAGTTACAGAGAGAGAGAGAGAGAGAGAGAGAGAGAGAGAAATCTTCTATCCGCTGGTTCACTCTTTAAACGGCCAAAATGGCTGGAGCTGGGCCAAACCAAAGCCAGGGGCCTCTTCCAGGTCTCCCATTTGGGTGAAGGGGCCCAAGCACTTGGGCCATCTTCTACTGCTTTCCCAGGCCACAGCAGGGAGCTAGATCAGAAGTGGAACAGCCGGGACTCGAACCAGCGCCCATATGGGATGCCGGCATCACAGGCAAAGGCTTTACCCGCTACACCACAGCACCGGGCCCCCAAGCAGGGTCTGAAATGTAGAGCCAAACACCTGCCCCCTGTGGGAAATCCTTGCTACCCTCATCCACATATATCTCTCCTTTCTCTATATCTCTTCAGCCCTAATGTACACGTTTGTACCGTGCCTGGTAAATGTGAAGTTTTATTCATTCACTCAGCAAACATCTGCTGAGTGCCAGGCCCAAGGCAGCTGTGCAGATTGCAAAGGGGCCCCACAGCCTCCCTCCCCGAACAGCTCGCCGGCAGCCCGGTTATTTACTAAGTGTTTGCACTGGCTTCCTTCTCCCCTCATCAGGCCACCTGCTCACCTGCTGGGTTTCAGGAGCTGTCTTCTACTTTTTTTTTTTTTTTCAAGATTTATTCATTTGTTTGGAAGGCAGAGGCAGAGAGAGAGAGAGAGAGGTCTTCCATCTGCTGGTTCATTCCCAATAGCTGGAGCTAGGAAGATCCGAAGCCAGGAGCCAGGAGCCTCCTCTGGGTCTCCTATGCGGGTGCAGGGGCCCCAGGACCTGGACCATCTTCTGCGGCTTTCCCAGGTGCCGCTAGCAGGGAGCTGGACTGGAAATGGAGCAGCCAGGACTCGAACCTGCGCCCATATGGGATGCTGGCACTGCAGGTGGTAGCTTTACCTGCTATGCCACAGCACTGGCCCCTGTCTTCTACTTCTCGTAGATCAAGTCCCAGTAGCTCACATTTGGGGCCACTGTTTCAGTGTCCGCCCCCCTCCAGGGACCCCAGGACCCCTGATATGGGAGGAGCCTTTTGCACCTGCGGTGCTGCCAGAGGCTTAAGGACACAGCAGGCAGCACCTGGGGCCGCTTCAGACAGGGAAGGACTGACCGGCACCAGGACACAAAGCCACCAGGACAGTCCAGAGCAGACGTTCCTACAGCGCCGCTGCAGTGGAGACCGGACTGGGTGTGTGGAGGCGGAGGCGGCACCGGCCGGAGTCAGGAGCTTGGTCTCAGCGAGGACGTCGTCAGGACACCCCAGCAGGGCCGCAACCGCGGCTGTAACTAGGTCAGGGCCGGTTGCCAGGTCCCAGGGACCCTGCCCGAGGGGCGTGTGGGAGGGGGAGGGCGTGGCCTGCTGTATAGGGTCGTCTCCAGCTCCCAGTCACTCCCTTCCCTGCACAGGTGATGGGACAGCTGTAGCTCCTCCCCTTCCCGCCAGGCAGGGCCTCTGCCTGTGGTGGGAGGCTGGGACTCCCAGCACCACGGCGGGGGAGACAGCACAGACTTACATGCCAGGACAACAGTTTCCTGGAAGATGGAACTGAAGGCTGTTGAGGGAGAGACACTCAAAACCATTCCCACAGAGGTGCCGCGTGGGCTGCGGGCGGCTTACTCACCCAGAGATATTTCAGGCTGTTTCCAAGGGGGTGGGGAAACTATTGTATACACAAATTCTTATTTATCTTAACCTTTTAGCTTATGGGAAACTTCAAACATATGCAAGAGTAGACAATAGTGTAATGAGCCTCTACACAGCCACGCCATGCAATTTCTCTTTAGTTAATTCTCTAAAATTCAAAAATAGCTATATTAAAATAAAATCTGTGGGGGTAGGGACCAGCACTGTGGTGTAGCGGGTAAAGCTGCTGCCTGCGGTGCCAGCATCCCATATGGGTGCCAGTTCGAGTCCCGGCTGTTCCACTTCCGATCCGGCTCTCTGCTGTGGCCTGGGAAAGCAGT